GACCCTCATATTGCGAGTCGAGCGCCTTATCCACCTGGCCATGCCGGGCCCACAGGGAACAAACCCCAAAATTTAGCGTTATAAGCACTCGTGCTTACCATTGAGCCAGCAGAGAACAGGCGTCATTTTGGATGTAGACATTTTCTTATAACTAAAGAACTGTTTCCTTTTGCGCAATACATTACCCACTTGAAAGATATATTTGTACTTTATTAGTTATTTCGGGCGAATTTCGAGATTTCGCTCGTTATTTTATAGTGTTTTAATAAAGTGATTTAATTTCGTACAAGATTCAAACTAATTTGAATTATGAGTGATATAAAAAATCATTGATGTGGATTTACATTCTTTTCTGCCCCCAGGTGGCACAGCTGTACGTCTGCAGACTTACAACGCTAGAATCCGGGTTTCGATACCCGTGGTGGACGGAGCACAGATAGCCCATTGTGTAGCTTTGTGCTTAATTCCAAACAAACATTCTTTTCTGCCCCCAGTGGCACAGCGGTATGTCTGGCTCAGCGGTAAGTCAGTGGTGGTAAAACGCTAAACAATCGGGTTTCGATACCTGCAGTTGGCATAACACTGATAGAATAGCGTGTAGCTTCGTGCTTTACAACATACCAATCAATGTTTTTAGTGTTAGCTAATTTATAAAACAATAATAATAATCATAGTCTGAGTTTATTCTAATCTAGAACAGTGTTTCCCAATGTGGAAGCCGCGGGTCCCCTGGGGCCGCCAAAAATGGGCCCGAAAACAAAGATGCTGAATTAATTGTAATTATAAATAAACAATAAGCCGATAAAAATTATGTTGAATTAATTAAATGATACAGTATGTTGAAAGAAGATGTTATTGTTTTTACTGCGACACTGTTTTTCAATCGCCATGCTAAAGTAGTGTGTGTCCCCAGGAGACATTTTAAGGCATTTTTATAGGTTGGGGGGAGGGGGGCTCAAACCTTTTTATTTACATCAAGGGAGTATAGTTTGGGAACCACTGATCTCGAAGTTATGTATAGTACGTTGTACTATTGAATTCAGTCATGTTTGAGTAATTTTTCATCTTTATAAGTTTTGAACCGGAAAAAAAAACTACTTCAATCTGTAAAGCACTTCATCTCGCTTGCCTTCAGGCCTTTAAAGGTCTTAAACTAATCAAAAACTGTGTAGCAAAAAACTCAAACCAAACCGAAAAATCAAACTTTATTAGAAAGCGAATACTGAAAAATCGAATTCAAAACAAAATGGTTACTTAACGAACTTTAAGAAGTTTCATAACGAAAAAAATAAACCATTGATTCTTCCATGACAAACTCTTGTTAATTAGAAAAAACACTTGGTAGATAAATTGTTGAACGGATAGCTGGCAAGTAGACTTCTGACTAAATACGCAGGTTAATAGATTATAAGTAAATAAATGGACAACCGAGTGTCTATATATCTAAATAGTACACAGATCTCTGATTTTTCTAACAAGTGGTCGATGTGTAAAGACATGGGTGAAAAGACAGCTGTGGAGGTATACAGGGTTGAGTACAATATATTAAAATGGTTTTAAATACGCTAATCAGGAACTCACGTGACACCTAGTCGGTAAAAAGTTAGG